GTGCCCCGGACAAAAGGAGAGATTATTTTTGCCAATTTGACATCATGTACTCCGGGCCAAGGAAATGATTTAAAAATAATAATAACAATATATTTGATTATCCTGCGGCTGACTCTTTCTCACAAACGTTGTGTTTGTTAATCAGTTTTAATGTACTGGCTGGTGAGGAGAGTGCTGGGAGGATGGCCACTGGTGTCAGTGTTTGAAAAAAAAGAAAGGTCAAAATAAATTTCTGGCAGCACTCAAATATTTCACATTGGGCTTGATGCATCTTTCCAAGTCGCTAACTCAGATCGAGGCATGTGGTCTTATGTCAAGAGATGATCAGGAGCTTCTTGAAAGAGGAAGCCCTAGAACAGAGGAATTCCCAGCATCATAATAGAGATTCAAGAAGGTAATCTGTTCAGGGACTACATTCCGTCTATGTTGTCAGTTACTAATTAATTTTTCTGATTGCCACACTTACCCAGCAAAGCTCTTAGAGGTAAGTGTTTATAGGAAACAGTGAACTGGTTGAATTTCAATGTCCTGGGTTTCATTCAGCAAACTCAGTTTTCCATTTAAACAGAAACTTGGAAGGGGGAGGTTCAATCCCCAGTACCTCCATTAAAATAAATAAATGAACCTAATTACCGCCCCCACCCCAATAAACAAATAAATAAACAGAAACTTGGGCTCCTTTAAAGACCAGACAGTATCTTTGGGTTGTGAGAGGGCAGATTAAAGTGTCATTATCTGATTTTGATTCTTTGCCTCTCCTGCTATATATATAAAACTCAGTGAAAGGAGGGGTCCTGGCAGAATTCATTGGGTTATGGAGATGAAGGAATGGCCTGGGGTGGAAGTGCAGCCACGCTGGGGGAGATGGCTGGGACTGCCCCCCGAGAATTTGGATTCCAGGCCCTGTGCTGCCTCGTACTAGGCGGATGAACTTAAGCATCTCTTCTAGCTGCCCTCTACTTTCCTTGTCTGTAACATGGGGCTCTGAGTGTACCTGCCTCACAGAGCTGTTGTGAGCACTGAGCTATTGGGTGTGAAGACTCCATTAATGTTAGCTTCTCCCCTCTAGCGATGAAACCTGACATAGTTATCTCTGTTTGATAAACTTGAAATCGGTTCTGCAGTGCCCAGTGTTGGGAGATGATGCAATATCTTGGTGTGATGACCAAAATACTTTCTCCCAGAATTTCCTTTCCGCTTCCAGCAGATATCCCAGCATCACTGCAGAGGCAACTACTAAGTACCAAGTTCGCCTAAAACCTCACAAAGACACTGTTTTAAGTAGGTCCAGATATACATTAACTTGGGAATCACACTCCTTGGGTTCATGCCATGACTTGCAAAGGCCTTTTTCGGCTGTGTCAGTGACCTTGACCCTTCATAAGCCAGTCAAGAGTTAGGTTGGAGAGAGGAGAGTTTCAAAGTCGAATTCACCATTGAAGGATTATATATACTGGTTAACAATCTTGGCAAAGTTCTAATCTTGTCTTTCCTGGGAGAGAACTGGAAGGATCTGCCGTGTTCTCCCTCCAGAAATCAGAGGGAGCAGGGACATTCAAATGAATAATTAATGACTGTCAGACTCTGTACCGCATACCGCGCTGAGCAGTTTCTGTGTAGTAAGTCATTTCTCCTCCGAAGTTGGCACTGCCATTGGCGCACTAGAATGCAGGCTTCAAGAGCCAAGGACCCTACCTGACTTACTCTTATTCCAGAACACAATGCAGTTTGCTGGCACATAGTAGGTGCTCAGTACATTTGTTTAACAAGTGAACCCCATTTTACAGTTTTAAAAACTACCGAGTAGTGGCGCTAGGTGACTGGTCCAGGGTCGTCACTTAGCATCACTCCTGTCGCATCACTTCTCCTCGTGTAGCCTGCCCTTCAGTCATGCCTGTTTGCCCCTTTTCCTAGCTGTGCCAGGCTTCCCTGTGTCCAGAGTTCTTGGTTCAAGTTCTCCAGTGAATAAAGCTCTAACCTTCTGCCCAAGTTGGGGGGAAAAGCAGTCACCCTGCTGCTTCTGGTGGGAGAGGAATTTAGGGCCTGACGGCTTGGATGGATGGATGGATAGATGAATGGGTAGACGGGTGGGTGGATGGATGGATTTTCCAATGGCTACTTGTATAGGCTTTTGATTAATAATCCTGTTTCCATCCCCACGTGCACCTTAACTTTTTGCGTAATTGATGTCTCCACTTCCTGAGCCTTCCAAGGGTCCTGTTCCTTGAAATTGATCTGCTTAGTGTTCCCCTTCCTCTGATCTAAGTTTGTGGCTGTTTGTCAGTCTGTTTCCCGGTTCTCACTCTCCTTGTTCCGGTAGGTTTTGCCTTTTCACTTCCTTTACTCTCACCTGAATGGGGTATCAGAAGGAGCATGAAAAAACACTCTTGTTAAACACACTATGCTTAGCCAAAAATCTCTTGCTCTTTGATTTTAAAAATTAATAATTGTTTACTTAAAAAATCAGTAAATGTGTGTTTCAAGAAAAAAAAATAAATCCACACCCTACCCATCCAGATATGACTATGATTAGCAGTTTGGTGTGCAAATTTTCAGGATTTTTATGCATGTATAAAAATATTAAAATTTATTTTTAAAACACCAATTATCCTTCACACACAGCTCTGTCAGTTTGTTTTTATCTTCACTCAGCAATGTCCCACAGTCACCCAGGTATGTTGATGCATAGATACACATTTTAAAACACATCATAGTCTTTCCTAATAGTGGTATTCAATCAGTCCCATTTTGATGGCCATTTAGAGTGTTTCCAGTTTTTCACTATTCCAGAATTTTCATGTGTACCCATAGACATAGTCACTTATTTCCTTAGGCTCAATTTATAGAAATTGTTTTACTATGTTAACATTATCAACCATTTTCAAATTGTTCCTCCCAAAATTAACATTCCCATCAGCATTTGCGTTCCCATCAGCAAGGCATGAAGGTTATTACATGCTGCCCAGCATGGAGTATTAGCATCTTACTCTTTTAAACGCTGGCACTTACATATATCAGCTTTGGAGCTAGTCAACCTGGTACGGCAGTTGGCTTGGACTGCCTCCAGCCTCTGAGGGCGTGGAAATTGGATAATATTAGAATGTAATCAGGGGCTTCCACTTTGCACATATGCAATCAGAGGCCTAGGGAACAGAGGTGACTTGCCCATGTCACACACTGGCAGAGTTGGGACCATGGAACACACTTCCTGGCTCCCAGCCAAGTCCCAGCCTCCTTCCCTGCTTCAAACCTCACTGCCAGGAACCCCTATAACTTGCCCCCACCCCGAACCCCTTTCCCTCCTGCAGCCAGAAGCATGGATCTCGGGGGAGGATGAGAACCTGCATTTTTGGTGCATCTTTTAAGTGCCTCAATCTGCCCCAGACGCTTTGCACATGTGCCCTCAATAATCCTGTGAGGTAGGTATTATTCACTCCATGATACAGAGGAAGAAATGAATGACTGGAGATGCTGTTCATCAAGTCAGTAATCTGTGCCCAGTCCGGAGGAGCTTTAGCACCAAAGACCAGAATAGATCTATCTTAGAATGAATATGGAGGGAGAGTGGTATCTGACCTGCATGGATAAGGGAGATGTTGTCTGGTATGGCTGCAGACATTCTGATACCTCCTCACCTCACATGTGCTAATTCAGGCATAAGAGTCAAACCCAGCAGCACAAGTATTTCTCAAGACATCGTCTAGCTGTCTCAGGATTTTGTGTTGCTCGGGGTTGAGCACACGTCGGACCCAGTGCTTGCTGGCGGGGCCCCTGTTCTGGAATGACTGAGTTGTCCAGCACGGCCAGTGTGTAAATGTCAAGTAAACACCAAATTGAAGAGCAATCTAGCTATTGTGCTGGGGCTGTTTGCTTTAGATATAATAGTGGGCAGGAAAGGAGAGGGAGAGGGAAAAATTTTTGTCACTTCGTAAGGCAAATCGTAAACGTCGTGAGCCCTCCCCTGGCCAGCTGGAAGGTCACAGAGACCAACGTCAAATAAATAAAGAGCTTGCGCCCCTTGTTGCAAAAATAAGCATGTCCATTTGCTTGAAAAAGAAAAAGTTTCAGATGAGGGAACATTTTCCAGTCAATCACACTGCAGCAAAGTCACCCTGTTGAATTTGTGACTCACAGGCTCTCTGTGTCAATAGACGGAGAGTGAGCCCAGCGTTATGACTTCACTGGGAGATGAAGCAGAAGTTGGGATGAGGCAGAGCCGGCTTTAAAACCAAGCTCTAAGCTCCGACAACAAATAGTGGAGGAAAGTCTGACTACTCACAGGCTAGGTAATTGCATTTGTTGTTTCCTTTTCTTTATTTCTTGCTTGTCTCCTAGGAAAGAACCGATTTAAAATTTGCCTTCTTTCACCCTTTCCTTGCATCTGCGTTGATGGAGGACGTCATTGTGAGGGCTACTGACGGAGCATCTCGGGTGCTTGATGCATCTCCTGTCCCCATGGCAATTCTATTAGGTAGTTGGTGATTAGTGTTAGCTACAGATGAGAATATTGAGGCTAGGCACCTTTGTAAGCTTTTAACAAGGTTCTTTCTGGCTTCAGTTTCAGATTCTGTGCAGTATTCAGCCTTCCATTTTGCTGTCCTACTGTGACAGTGGGGTTGCTCCGACAAGTAAAAAGTGGTTCCCACATGAAAAAATGCTCAGTATCATTAATTATCAGAGAAATGCAAATCAAAACTACAATGGGGTATCACCTCACACCAGTCAGAATGGCCATCATTCAAAAGTCCAGAAACAATAAATGCTGGAGAGGATGTGGAGAAAAGGGAACCCTCCTACACTATTGGTGGGAATGTAGTTTGGTGCAGCCATTATGGAAAACAGTATGGAGATTCCTCAAAAAACTAAAAATAGATTACCCTATGATCCAGCAATTCCACTCCTGGGCATATATCTAGAGGAAACTCTAACTTGAAAAGATACACGCACCCCAGCGTTCATAGCAGCACTATTTACAATAGCCAGGACACGGAAGCAACCTAAATGTAATCAGGGGCTTCCACTTCGCACATATGGAATCAGAGGCCTAGGGAACAGAGGTGGCTTGCCCATGTTACACTAAATGTCCATCGACAGATGACTGGATAAAGAAATACACACACACACACACAACGAATAATACTTAGCCATAAAAAAGAATAAAATAATGCCATTTGCAGCAACATGGATGGACCTGGAGATCATCATTCTAAGCCAGAAAGAGAAAGAAAAATACCATAGGTTATCACTTATATGTGGAATCTTAAAAAAAAAGACACAAATGAACTTATTTACAAAACAAAAACAGACTCACAGACATAGAAAACTTATGGTTATGGGGGGGTAGGAAGGGATAAATTGGGAGTTCGAGATTTGCAGATATATAAAATAAACAACAAGTTTCTACTGGATAGCACAGGGAGCTATATTCAATATCTTGTAGTAACCTATAATGAAAAAGAATACGAAAACAAATATATGTATGTATATGTATGACTGAAACATTATGACACCAGAAATTGACACAACATTGTAAACTGACTATATTTCAGTAAATAAATAAATAAAAAGTGGTTCCTGCCTTCAAGGAACTCCAGGACCAGCCAACATACTGTTGTCTGGTACTCAAGACCACTGGGACCTGATTAGTTGAGGTTGCCTGAAACTAGCAAATATTTAAGAAAACAATGGTACCAGGAGGCTCACTGCTTGTTCTCCAGGGTGACATCATCTGGGGACATCTCAGGAATGCCCACAGGATAGAAAAACCTCTGCTATCAAGACTCCAGGTGAGCTAAAACTTAGCGCTAAAACGGTTGATCTGAAAGCAAAGCTTGCAGCCAATCAGCTTTGTTTGGCGCGCGGGGCCGCAGGCCTGCAGGGGCTTGTTGTTTGCAGCCCCGGAACAGGATGGGCAGAGATGTGAGCCCTGACCGAGAAGCTGGACGGTCTGGCGTCTCAGTCCGCGCCTGGCTCCGCACATGCATGAGCAGGGGTCAGGGGCTGGCTCTGTCTGCACATCGGCCTCTTCAGCTGTGACATGAAGGAGGGAGGAGAGCAAGTCCCTGGTGGCCCCGAAGTATCAGGATTAACTTGGATTGTTGGGTCCATTCTTGGCTTGTCTGGATGACCTCAGCCTAGATACTCTCACATAAAAAAGGGGGAAATAAAACCCCAACAAATCTGCTAGCTCTCAAGGCTGAGATGTTTCTTCTTCTGAACCCTCCCTGCAACTTTGCCGAAAACTGAGCTGGTAAAGTAACTTTGATCCTTTTTTAAAAAAAATCTGTTGTCTGGCTGGACAAAAGCAGTTCGTAGAGTGGCTTTGTCTTTGTTTTAATAGGACACTGATCCTTTCTTCTTCTTTCTTTCTGTGGGCGGTGTCCTCCCAGTTCTGAGGAGCTGTCAGTGTAGATAATATATTCCCTGCTTGCCCAAGTCCTCTTCCAGTCCTTACAGGTTTTCTTCTTGAGGTCTGGGAGAATTCTTGAAAGGACATGGTCAATACTCATTAGCTGGGGTATACTTTTAACACATTTATTTTGGCTCCGTGTTGTTTGTCAAGCCCTCATCGAGCCCCGTGAGTGAGCGCACACTCCGTTTACTATTTTGAATTTCTCCCCTTCTCGTTGGCAAGCATCGTGTTTCTGCTGTAATCTGCCTGGAAAACAAACAGGAGAGTTTACTCTGGTCCCTGTGTCAACCATCTGCCTACTCAGTGATCAATACAGCAGTGTAGGTGCTAGAAGCCCGTGTGTGTGTACGGAGAGAAGTTCATTCATTCGTTCATACAACATATTTAGGGGGTAGGTACCAGCTATGTGTCTCGCTCAATGCTGGGCATTGATACAAAGGCCAACAGTGAACAAAGAAAGATGTGAACCTCCCTACAGGGAGCTCACAGTCTACTCCCAGGAGAAAGATTGCAATCAAATAATCACCAAAAAATAGTAGGAAACTGCTAACTAACACTTATTTTAGGAAAGCTTATTTTATGAGAGCTGGCCTTGTCACGATGCACAAGAAGTGCAGTGGGGAGAGGAAAGTCAAGTTCTCCTTGTGGCCTGTGGTCCCCGGTAAATGATTAAGACAAGTATGTATGCCTTTAAATTTCTAAACATAGCACGGTCTCAATGGTATTTTTAAGTTACTTAATTTTTTAGTTATTTCATACTCTAGGCTAGGGACTCAGGGCACAGAGACAAGTGACATTGTCTCTGTGGAATCTAAAACACAAAACAAAAAGACTCACAGATATAGAGAACATGGAGAAGGGTGTTGGGGGAAATAAGTGAAGGGAATTAAGAGGGACAAATGTCCAGTTATAAAATAAATAAGCCACAGAGATGCAATATACAGCATAAGGAATATGGTCAATAATGCTGTAATAGCTTTGTATGGGGACAGATGGTTACTAGACTTACCCTGGTGATCATTTCATAATGTGTGCAAATATCGAATCACTATGTATCACGCCTGAAACCGACCTGGAACAGACACAATACTGCACGTCCATTATATTTCAGTAAAGAAAAAAAGAATTTCAAAAACCCGAGACCTTGCCTGGGACCACCCCTGCAAGAAATTGTAATACAGGGTGCCATGTGTCATAATAGCAAGCTGGGTACACAAGGTTGCACGAGCCCAGAGGAGAGAGAGATTGATTCTGCCAGAGGCTGGCCTGGCAGGGCGGGCAGAGGAGGGGTGTCCAGGCAGAACACGGCCTAGAGGTGGAAGGGTGCAGGGTGTGTAGGGGGACTGCTGTGAAATCCGGGGGGGGGGGCAGTGTAGAGTGTGTACATGGGATTGGAAATCTTTGGGAAAATCATCTGGGGACCAAAATTGAGGGGCCCAGTGTCATGATTTTCCTGAAATCAAACAGTCACTTAAGACCCAGAGGTTCAAGTTGTGTTTTCCACCCTTGCAGTGATTGTAGAACTATGTGAAAACCTTTTTTGGCATAGATACATTCCAGTAGTCACAGTAGGATCAATATTTCTGTTTATATCCACTTTTTATTTTTATTTACTTTTTCAGGATGAAAAAATAAATTTTCAACTGATACTATTTCTTTAAAAAATGTTTTTCTTTATTCCTTTGATAGCTATGTAAGTTTAAAAAGCTAAAGAGCTAATCTGTTCTTAGAAATGATAATTGGTACATATATGAAAACTTTAAAAATGTGCAGTGTCCTGTTTAC